GGATCAAAGCCCTAGATGCTCTGATACTATGAAATCTTGTGGAATTCTTTTCTCTCTACATTATACGTACAAGGCTTTATATAGCCAAAGTAGTTACACAAAATCAGGAGCAGTATTAACAACTTAACAAAATCCTATATACGAGGAACTGAATATATCTCATTGTCTATCAGTCACTCTTGCAGTTGTGTGGGCGAATTCTGATACTACAAGTTAAGCTTTCTCAGATTGCCACCAAACCCAAACTAAATAAATAAATGTATGTGTTTGTTATGTCTACTACTACTACTAAAACAGCTTCTTTTAGCACGAGAGTACTCAAACAACGCAATGATTGGTTGAAATATATACTATAAGTTTTTCTATTTATTTCACATAGCTTTGTGATTTTACTTTTCACCCACGAATCTGACAAGATAAATCAAACCGAACATAATTCATGCAGATCACTTTTTTCTTCTTTATTTGGTACCGCAATAACACAACCAAATAAAAAGCAGTTTACTCCAAACCGGGATTGCCCACAAGTTGCTCGACACAATTCCCCAGTGAAACAAAATGAATCTTTTTCCAACAATCTGGGTTGCAGAGGGAGGAAGCTTGCTCGACACGTGGATATCACGTGATAAAGCTTCAACATCTTTCTGTTATTTTTCCCTCTCGCCAAGAAAATTCCTAACAACTTTTCTATCTGAAGCAAAACCCAAGAAAGCGCAAAGAAGCTTGAGAATCGCTACTCGCCAACATGGAGCATCTTCTCTTCGGCGATGGTGAAGAAGACGAACAACTCCACAAACTTGCCGGAGGTTACTTCGCTCAAGGAGATCACATCAAGGCTTTGGAGGTAATAGAAGATTCGATTTCGACTCGTGGGAAACAAAAACTTGCAGGAAAGCTTCATTTCCTACAAGGTTCCATCTTCTTTAAGCTAGCGAACAGAACAGAGAACAGTGACATCAAGTTCGCTTTCTTGTTGGGTTCTGTAGAATGCTTTACGCAACATTATGGAGTACACGAGTTCTCTGCAATGGCATTGCTCGACTTGGCCCAACAGCTTGGCTCAGCAGTGTATTACAGGAAAGCCATCAACTATGCCAAAGAGAGTTTATCTTTTTTGGCTACGTATGACCGATTGTCCTTGCTCGAGCAAAATACTAAAACTACACTTGAGAACGTAGTCCATGTGGCAGAGTCAAAGATCCTCGTAGGTCTTACTGGGAAAAACTCTGACCCAAATCTTAGGGAGTCAAAGGGAGTTAGAGATACCATAAGGAGTGACTCGCAGAACGCTGCAGGTCAAAGATTGAGGTCGTACTGGGCGGGTATGAATGTCGAGAGTAAAAGGAACTTTACGAAAGTATGCACTGTGGAGCTTAGAGGTTATGTCGAGAGATTATATGGTAGAGAGGGACAAGAAGCTTTGGAGCAAGTTCTCACTTGTGCAAAGACCAACAGAAAATGGAAATTCTGGATGTGTCGAACTTGTTCACTCAAGTTCTTTTATCCGAAAAAGTTAAAGTCTCATCTTGAGCAAGAACATGCCGCAAAATTTAAACCTTCTACGAAAAAGCATATGCCCCAGAGGGTAAATGAAGCGTGGGCTAGTATGATATCAGTTGCAGGTTGGGAACCAGTGGATGCAGTAGCTGCCGCTGAAATGATCAAGACTCGGCTCGAATTTGTGAAAGAGTTTGTCTATGAGAATGGATGGTGCAAAGACTGGCCTTTAGCTGCGGATGAAAAGCGCAGTAAGTTACTCAAGGAAATCCGGTTGCTCCTTGTGTCGTTTTGGGACCGTAAGATTCTCTCTTGTAGCATTCGAGACTGGATGATGCATTTTCCAGTTATGCATCTTGCAAAATTTGAAGTTTCTGAGCATACTCTTACTACCGAGTGTCACCTATTGAAAACACCTCAGAGTATCTGCTTCTTGGAATGCCGTGAACTTAATCAAATTCTAGACCTTCTCAAACAGATCAAGTGCGAAAGGGATGATGGTACAGATCTGATTTGCAGAGCAGTGGACAGTTTATGGGGTCTTACTCGGGTTAAAGAAAAGATCGAATTAGACCATCAGTTTACTCATATGCTTCTGGATAAAAGACTGCTGAGAGGCAAGATTGCGTCATTCGATGATGTAGGGACAATAGATGTTTGTGATCATAATGTTTACTACGCCAAGACACGTCCTCAGGGCGACGATCTCATAACCTGGTTACTTGACTACCCTTTGATAGATGAGAGCTTTGAATTTCCCAGATCTATTAGGGCACACAATCTTGATATATGGGTGGCTATTCTGAGATCCATTCACTTCACGTGTAGGACTTTGGGAATCAAATATTCAAAGAAGTTGCAAATCCTATGTTATGATGCAGGTCTTCTTGAGGCTAAGAACATATGTATATGCGAAGATGAAAGGAGAAGGAGCATTCTGGAACATCAATGGATTAAATATGCATCTCTCCTAGGCGATAAATGTGAAGAGCATTTAAAAACAGATGCCGGAGACTCTCTCAATACAAAACTATTCTTGTGTGCAGTAAGAGATGTTCTCGAAGGAGCATCGCATCCGGCATTTGATTACCCTGATCTAGATGTTTGCCTGAATTTTATACATGGGACCTCAGTGATGATATAGTATTGAAGTCCATAGACGTTCTGAGATCAGTGGTCACTGACAAGGTGCATTCCTGATATGAGTTTCAATTAACAAGAGAATAACAGATGTAAATTGTTATTATAAAGTATCTTTTGACTTGCAGGTTCCGGTAGTCGATTCAAAGATTTTGCTGGTTGAAAATTCAAGGATTAATTTGCTAAACGACCTCGCCAGGCTTTCTGCTTTTGATTACCGCTCTTATATCCTGCACCTGCTGAAACGTTTCTTGCGGGTTGGTTTGAACATTGGCTTTATACAGAGCGCTTTCATCTTCCCTCATTTTTTCTCTTGGACATGTACCTTACGTAATTTATTTCTTTTCTTCTAGGAGAAGTTAGATGGACTCGTAGATATGGATGCCAAAGCCAAGGTAGCTGCTGCAGAAGCATATCTTTTACCTGAGGAGGGGAAGATATCGCTGTTAAAGAAGAAGAAAAATAAATGCAACAAGGTCTCATACAAATAGCTTTCATCTTCTCTTTGACATGTACCTTATGTTATAATTTACTTCTTTTCTTCTAGGAAGGATATGATGGACTTCAAGAGTTAGCTAGGGTAGCTGCTGCAGAAGCAGATCTCCTATCTGAGAAAAAACAACACAAGGAAAAGACGGCAAGGTCAAAGAAGAATAAACATGGAAACATCAAGGTTGTTGAAGATCTACATTTTTTCTATTTGCTTCTCTGACATTTCAGTTACTTGGTTGTAAGAATGAATGGTCTTCATGGCGTAACAGAGAACTTCAACGAGCATGTCTAGTCTTCCTGATCAGAATTTAGAACAGTAAGTACCTCTTCTCTAGATGAGAAATTTGGTTTATCAAGAGTCTTTTTGCAAGTTGATATATTGCTTGTTTGTTTCCTCTAAGAAAAACGTGTTCTGACATATGTCTAGTGAATCTTCTGTCAACCTTGAACCGGGAGTTACTTCTCCATCACTAAAAACGGTGGAAGAAGATTCTACAGAACCAGAAGATACTCTTTCGAGTGAAAGGAGTCGACTGGAAATTTCATCCAGCACTGACAATCAAGAGGAAGAAGATCCTAAAGGTGACCCTAGTTGTAATATAGTTTCTCAGATGACAAACTATACTGTTTTGAGATGTATAGTTCTTATTTCTATAACTTGCTATCTTCAAGATATGCAAAACATGCCTGGAGAAGATTCACTGTCGAAACATTTGGAGGCAGCACATGTAGTAGCTGCAACCAGATGCAATTCAGCTCTTGAAATGACGCTGAAGGTAAAAGCAGGCAATTAAAAAAAAAAGGATTTAAAACCAAATCTTTCTTCTATTGATTCACCTCAGTCGTTATTTTCATGTGTTATCTGTTAACTTCCTTGTTTTCTTTGACAAATTGTGCTACTGCAGGCCCTTTGTAACATTAAGGTTCTTAAAGAGTATTTGGTGCACAACCAGCATCAATTTCCTGACAACCTTGAAGAACAAGTTCCTTGTGCATTACAAAATTTCTTTACTGCTTTCGTCTCGAAGCAGATAAAAGATGAGGGACTCTACTGTGACCTCCTGAACAAATTACTTGCTGCCCTAGAAGAAGTTCATTTAATGGTTCGTGTGGAAGATAAATTTCTAAGCATGACATACTAATTTTTCAAAAAAAGCTTGGTTGTTGTCTTTATTGTCATTCTGGCTTTTTACTCTTTTCAGTCAAGTGATGTTGCTGAGCTATTCGTATCCATCCTTGAATTTTGGCCTTGCTGGAAAAGTCCACATATAGAAAGCGTTGTAACTCGTCTATTTACACTGGACGAATATGAAAGAATGAGTTGTAGCGAATGCAGAAAGAAACCAAATTATTCAGAGCAAAGTTCTTATGGCGTTGTTGTGGCTGCAGATTCAGTCAGAGACCTGAAGGTATGTTTCATTTATTTCTCTCTTTCTCTTTCCTGCAGAAACTGGTACTACCCCTTAAGAAGGTGTTTTGTGTTTATATATATATATGCAGTGCGCTTTTGGGAATATAAAGTTTGAGGATGTCCTTAAGGAGATCCGCATGGAAAATGAAATGTTATGTGACATTAAAACAGGAGGCTGTGGAAAGGCAAACTTTGTTCATCACATTATAAGTACATGCCCGCCTATCTTCACAATCGGTAAGTTTTGACCATGAATGTGATCTTATCTACTCGTATCATTAATTATGCGCTATGATAAGACAATGTTGGTGTTTTGCGGGTTTGCAACATTAGTGTTGGAATGGGAGAAGGATGAAACTGAAAAGGAAATATCTGAAACAGCAAAGGCTTTGGAGTGGGAGATAGATATCAGCAGGTTGTACGAAGGCGTAGAACTAAACACAAAGTACCGGCTTGTGTCAATGGTAAAATCTGAAACAGTATCACAAAATGTTTGTCCTACTGTTCCTCTGTATTTCTATGTTACAGTTTCAGAATATGGAATGCAGGTTGGTTGTGGTGAAGCCGAAGAATACATTTGCCTAGCTTACAAAAAGATCCGGTGGTTCAGTTTCAGACATGAAGCTTTAGCGAAAGAGGTAAGACGAAAGCTTTTGTCTTTCTTGAGTTGAGTTGTTAACTTTGACATGATCGATATGTGTGGTGATGCAATAGGCTGTTGGTAATTGGAAGAGTGTGGTCAAATTCTGTGGAGAAAGGAAGGTTCGGCCAAGGATTCTGTTTTATGAAGCTGTTCAATGGCCTCACAAGTAACAAAGTTATCAGTATAGAAACATGTAAAAACATTAAACAGTGACATATTCCAGTTCAAAAGCAACTTATATTCTTTTGAGATTACAAAGCAGCCAAGTTAAATATAACAGATTGTGATTATCATTTCAAACTTGAAGATCACTAGTTTCTTCAACTCCAACAGCTGCAGACAAATCCCGAACTGAACATGAGAAGCTACGAAGATCCCTAAGATATGAATCGTTATATTCTTCTGAAAATAGTTAGATGAAGTATCAAAAATGCAAAAGAATAAACTATTTTTTTCCTCGGGAAATATAATCCACCAATGCTTCATAGAAATCTAAATTCTTCAGCATTAAACGGACAAGAGCGAATAGACTTCTGGAAAATTCTACAACCACACCCAACAATGATAAAAATCTGCGTTGTCTAAGAAAATCTAATTTAAAAAAAAAAGAATTATTGAAACTTGTACAATAATCAAAAGATCAATACTTTTAAATAATTTTAACTTGTTGTGTTTAAAGTGAATTATAAAATTAGAACATAATTAACAAAATGTTCAATAGGAAAATATATGGAGTTAAAGACATAAA